ATATAGAAAAAGCAAAGACAAGTGTTAAATTCATCCAATCTAATGAGAATGCACTAGCGAAGTAAAGCACTGCGCTTTTACACAATTTCTGAGTAAGCTATTCATATGAATTAAAATAACTCTTGCTTTTAAACTTGTATTAGAAATTAAAATTTAACTTGAAATTAATGTAAATAATTACTGAGAGAATAAGATTTTTGTAGCGTAGTTTACGTGAGATGAGATCACTTGGGGTCACGTGATGTTGTACCATGAAAGCATAGTAAATTCTTAAATAATTGTCTTTATTTATTGGCTATTTTACAAAAGTTTAAACGACATTAAAATTTTTATACCTTCAAAATAAAAAATTCTTGCAACTAACATTAGTCAACATTTTTTATATGTATTCTGTGTGTTGTCGCCAATAAAGTCTGCGATAAAGTCTGCAATAAAGATTGCCGAGTTTTGCACCGGTGAAAGGGAAAACTACCCAAAATTACAAATACAAAATGTAAAAGAAAATTAAGCAATAATGATCTCTAGGTAATTAAATTCCAATTTAATAATTCTGCAATGTGTGGATTAATTCAAAATGAGGACACACAGGACAATGACAGCGCAAGTAAGATGCATCACACTTTGGGAAAGCTGACATCTTTCTCTTTCTGTAATAATGAACCAAGAAAGTGTATGTTAGTTTTCAGCTAAATTTAAAAAAGGCCAACTGGTCTGAGTTTTTCCATCACGGAAGTTCGGCAGCGTTGCACCCGCTGTAGTCAGCTAGATGTGTTTTCCCACATTCTTCTAGCAAAAAAAGAAAACATTGTGCTAGATGCATTTCCCTGTGTTCTAATATAAAAAAAATGCCTAATGAAATAAACACACCGGTGTCCCTTTAACTTAAAATGCTGTGATTCCTAGTTTGTTTACACTAATAAATCTATCAAAACCAGAAGCACAGAACAGAAACTGATGCTCATACATGAGGGTCAAAGCCACGTTATTTAACCGATGTGAAAAGCGGCATTTAAAAATTCAAAAATATTTTTCCGTTTTCAAGTTATGTAATGTGATGCTGGGCTGAAGAGATTGATTGGAGCTCTTTGCATAGCCACGATGCTGCTTCTCATCGTGGAAGAGCCTATCTCTAAATAATAAAAATAAGTTCTGCAAATAGATATTTATGATTAAATGTGGTAAAATGAGAATTTAAAACTAAATTCACAGTTTTGTGGGATTATTCAATATGGTTAGCATCATATGCAGGAGGAGAACTTTCACAAAATATGTGAAAGTTTTGTAGATCACTCACATATGAGTTGTACTACTATTTATTTACATGTCTTGTCAAGGTTAATGTATCATTAAAACTTCAGGTTGATTGGATCTGTCCTTTCTTGTATTGCAGTTTAAAAAGTGTTTTCGGGTACGACAGTCATCAAGTTATGCGTAATAATGAAGTTTGGCAATAGGGAAAGAAAATTTTAACTGTTACAATTGTGTAAGAAATAAACATTTCATTATGAAATTTTCAGAAAGAAATTCTTTTATATAAGTGCATGCATTGAAGAACATTTATTTGAGGTGAAGAGAGCACATTTTTCATATTAGAAATTTTACTTATTGAATATTTCTCAGCTTTATGAAAAATTATAATGCAGGTCTACAAAGACATTTTCTTAAAAAGAAAATGAAGTATGCCAATGTTATACTTGTCAACTGTTTTGTGGTAGAAATTTTAAAAATAGAACCTTTGTATGAAAGTGTAATTTACTTTTATTGTTAATAGCTTATTTTATATTTAAACACATAAAATTATTTAGTTACACATACTTAATGTTCCAACTACTTTGTAATATGTGGTCCAGAAAATTGTTTATTTTTATCAGGGAAATCAAAAGTTTAATTTCAATAAGAATTCTGTATATATGCTAAAGTAGTGCTTACATATTAGTGCAGTCATCCTGATGAAAATGTGGAATAAATTATAATTGCAAAAAATTATTTATCACCTATATACTGATTTTACGTTTCAATTAGTATGTATCCTGAAAATCAGTCATTAACCTACTTAGAAACAGGTTTTTTTTTTTTTTTTTTTTTTTTTTTTTTTAAATAGAAATTATGGAGTGATCCTTTTAAGAACAGATTCAAAGCATTGTTCTTTTTAGCAAGTATGCAAAATATTATGTTCTATAGAATTTTATTGCAACATTTATTTTACTATACCTAAATCCTACAAGTGCATTTTTAAAATTGGGTTAAAGGCAAAAAATATGATGATTTGTCTATAAAAAAAAACATTAGAATTTGGAATACAGCAAAAAGAATGTATGTAAAAATGACCAAATTGCTTGTTGAAATTGAAGAATTATTATTTACATGGTTGCCAGAACCTAACATAATTTGGAAGTTCAGGAACTTCTTCTAGAAAACAATTCGGGAACTTCATTCCTTGATCTGCTTCAGCCTTTTCTTGAACTGACTTCATGGCTACTTCTATCATTTCTTGGCCCACGTTCATCTCTTCTTCGACTACTTTATAGCCCCTTTCATCTTTTATTTTGCCCTCTTCCATCTATTCTTGAGCTGCTTCCATGTCTTCATTAACCCTTTGCAGCGCACTGTACGTTAACGTTGGAATTTCAACAAAAAAGTTGTATGCTATCTATTTAGTCCTAAAGGAGTATACAGGTAAAATTTTGTAAAAATTGCACTTACGGTTTTAATTCTGTGGGTGTTCCATGAGGTGGAACACTGCACCGCCAGAGCTTTTAAAAGTGCGACTAACCGAGCATTGCAGTAAAGCACGAAAATGAGTAGAAGCGTTTGTATAAGAATGAAAAAACTTTGTATTATGGCTGTATACATGGTTTCCTGGATATACACAATATTCTTGTATATATACGGATAAATGAGATAAATATCCATATACACAAGTCCTATATACAAAAATATTTACAAATTTTCGGAAAGAGTTGGACCTCTCCGTGCCATTTATGGAAAATTAATAATAAAAGAATTAACTGCAATTAATATTAACAATAAAGAAAAATAAGCCCATAATATATACATACACGAAAAATATCTACACAATTATTGAAAATAAACGGGAATGAGACTAAAAAGCAACAGCAAAAAATTCGCGCAGGTCTAGTAAAGATGAGTCAAGCTGCTAATAAAATTCCCTCCTAAAAACTACTCCCAAAAAATTCGAGATACCATTATTAGGACTTTCATAACACAAAACACACCTCACCCCTCAATACTGCTTTGTTTGAATTCATTCCCCCCCAAAAAAACAACGGAAACAGAAAATGTAAACAACGGAAGTTCTCTCCTAAGCACAGATGTTCTGATTCGTAACAGCATGAGATCGCTAAAGGCGCAGTGTTCCCGCTAATGGAACGCCCAGTTTTATTCAATGATTATGTGTATGGTTTTTGTATGAAAGATTAAAAAAAATATAGAACAAATAATTTGGAGTACAGCCAGCAAAATTATACCTAATTTTTTTTTCCAAATAAAAATTTTTATGCAATTAAAAAAATAGAGAAAATTACTTGAAAAAAAGTGGATTTTAATAACACATAATAAATGAAAATTCTGTGTCTTCTTGTGATATGCTGCTATCTACTGTTTAAAAAGAAAAGTTCAAAGTATATTATAAAGGCATTTTTATCTATTTACGGTTGAATTTAAAGGTTTCAGAAGCAATTCAATTTGGCTGTTCCATGTAGTGTAGCACTGAGCCACAAAGGGTTAATGGATTTGATGGTCCCTTCCATCTTTTCTTGGCCCACTTTCATCTGATTTTTAATGGACACAAAAATACCAATAGTGTTCTCAGTATGGGAGAGCACAAGTCAGTAATTATCACTTCAAATTCAAGGCAATGCAAAGCAAAAGCTCATACAGTGATCTCTTAGTAATCTGAACTATTAATTAAAATTTAAATCTTATGCTCTTTCCAGTCTCGTATAGTTTTCCTGCATTCTCTAAAAAATTTGTATGTTTCAAAATTGCTGTAAGGCATATACAGTTATGTTGGACTGGTGCAGTTACACAAGGATTGGATCAAAATGTTGCCAAGCTTGACAACTTTTTGCAGTTGCTCACCAAATTTCATGACAAAAATTTGTCATGGAAGCCATCTCCAGTGTGGAGTGTCACCAGCCAATTTCGCGAGATAACCATGATGTGTTAAATGGATTTACCTTTGTAACTCTGTTTTTCTTGTAATTATCCCAGAGGGTATTAGCTAAGAAGGCCTATTAATTTCATTTTGGCATTTTACATTGAAAACTTTAAAAGTCTGAATCACTTTTCAAATTGTTGCCACCAAATATTATCACCCTATATTATATTTAAAGAAATTAAATAATTTAGAATCTGCATAAATGTATGTATGTTCCTCATATTGTCATAAAAAAACAGTACCATCAAATTTTGAATAACGCACGTCTCCAACCGAATATGGGCATCTGGAAGCCAGCACTTGGAATTTTTGTTTTTTATTATCTATTTCATATTTTGTAAAGTATCTTTGAGTTTTTGATTAAGAAACTCTAGGATTTCAAAGCGAGCAATGGCAACACTGTATGGGGGTAAAAAACATTTCTATCTCCACCGCGTGAGACTGTGTATCAGGAATTCTAGAGATTCGCTGTTTTAAAATTATTTTTTAATATTGCTGTTGAATTGAATTTTATTGCTTAAGTGATATTTAATAAATAAAGGTAACACACAAAATGTTAAAAAATGCTCTTGTGGGCATATCTGAAATCTGAAAACTTTCAGATTGTTTATATTTTTTAAAAATATATTTACATATTTCACTAAAATTGTTTTCATATACAAAATTCGTAATAGCAGTGACCGTCAACTCTAAGGTAGCCATGTCTACATTTGTTTGGATTCATGACTGCTTGTTAGTTGTCTTGGACAGGATTAATGTACTTTGGTATTTTATAACTTGTATGAATGCATATGATTAAAAAGTGTTTTTTATTTTGAAGCGGGTCCAGCCAGGCCAGCTGTGCCTGGCCAAAGAATGCCTATGATGCCACCTCCTATAGGAGCCATAGCTGGTCCAATACCTGGCCCCATGCCCGTTATGGGTCCTCCTGGTCCAATGCCACACAATATGATGGTTCCAGGTAAGTCAATCTTTTTGCATTTGTGCCTTTAAACTATGCATGCAAATCAAAATTCCACGTAAAGTTTTATGATAAGATAAGATAAGTTTGGGCTTCCCTGCTCCGAGAACTCAATCTCACTGCAGGTCCACTCCCCCTTTGGGCACATCGTGGAAGCCACTCTGTATTGAAGATTTGTAGAATACAGTCAAAAGTCTTTAATCCGGACGTCCGTAATCCCGAATGATCTGTAATCCGGTCCTCAATGCTACAAACTTTCTGTGCATGCGTAAACGCAAATACCTTTACGCATGAGCATAATACTTTTACGCATGCTCGTTTAATATATAACGGATGGTATAAGCTAAGCTAAAATTATCTAATTATCTATTTCAGTTATGTTGCAGATTGTGTTGTTCCTTAATCATCGAATTGGATCCGGCTTATTATTTTTTGCAGACTATTAGAGCAATTTTATAAAAGTAAGCTTAAACTTTTGATTATGTCAAAAAGAATTTCCGATTATGGAGCTGCCAAAGGATCTACAAAGCGAAAGCATGTTTCGATGTCCATCAAACAAAAAGTGGAATTGCTGCAAAAAATGGATAAAGGCATATCCTTTGTTTCTCTAACCATTCCGAAATCTGTTTATCAATTCCACGCTGCTCTGCCGGGGGGGGGGGGACATCGCAGCACGCAGTGAACTGGAAGTTGATCTGTCAGCACTATCCTTATCTTCAGGGCAGATGTTTTTATTTTATTCGGCTTATAATTCCTTACTAAATGCAGTATTTCATCTCGATGTACTCCATCTTTGATATGATTTAAATCAAATTTCTCGTCATCATAAATATCATGAATACACATCAAATGGTTTTCTGGTTGCAGTTTTTCTAATTTTGATTATGCGTAATGTATGCTTTACGCATGCGCGCGTTGAAAGAAATGTTTAATAAAGTAAACAAATAAATATTAAGCTCTTTTTTTTTTTTTTTTTTTTTTTGTAAATTTTGATACACTTTAGATCGTAATTGCTCTTTATTTCATGAATTATGGTTTCATGTTTTTAATTTTATAATTTCTGCGTGCCATCTTACCAGATTTAAACTGATGATCTATAATCCAGAAAAAGAAATCCGGAATCGCCGAAATCACAACGAGTCCGGATTAAAGACTTTTGACTGTACTAAGAATTTTTCTGTGTTCAGGAGCACTTGCTTCTTGGAAGGGAGAAAACATTATATTTCTTTCTTTTTCCAATTCCTGAATGTGTTATTCTTGCACAAATTAGGTTATTGATGAATGATTTGTATTTCTTTAACAGAAAACATTCCCCCCCCCCCTCCCCCCCCATAAATGTGTTATTCTTGCACAATTTAAATGATTCAAGAGCCTGAAGTCTTGTAAATCAATATATAGCCTTTTAGTATAAATACAAGTGAAAATAAATAAAATACTGCATATTTAATCTTCTATGCAAAGTAGTTGCTTTCTTTCAATCATAAAATTTATTTGCACTTGGTAAATGTTGCCTTACTATTTAAAATATTTTTATATTTTTATTATTGATCTAACTAGCATCCCTTTTAAGAGATTTGTATGAAAACAAAAAATGGGTAATTTTACAAATGCTAGTTAAATATAATTCTTTGTGGATCTAAAAAGTGACACAGCTTAAATGATGAACTTAATTCATATGTGTAAGATGAAAATATGTAAAGCAGATTTCCTAGTTTAATCTGCAGTAATCCTCTTATTCATTGTTTTGAGTATCTGCCCCTTGTGGCCTAAAAATAGTAAGTAACTATTTATAATATATGTATCTAAACTGCTTCATTTGAAAATAACTCTGTCATACAGTTTTACAACACTGCAATGCAGATATATTTCAGCCCGTCAGTGAATATGATTTCATTTGAAAAAAAAAATTATTTTGATTCCCTCGCATGCTTTCTTCTGAATGCATTTCACTTTTACTTACTTGCTCGCAATCTGCACCCTGCATTTTTGGAAGTTTACCATCTTAAGACAAACAATGGGCACTGAGCTCCACTGCGTGTCGTCTGGCATATATTAGCCAATAAGCACAAAGCAAGCTCAAGGCCGTTGGCCGTTATTTGGATGTTCTTTTGTTTATCTTGTCCTGAGTTGTGCGAGTGCACGTGCCTTCAGGAAATAGTTTTAGAAATTATCATCTTTTGTTATGTCTGCGAGAAAGGTGAAATACGTGCACGTTTCAAAAATCATGCACAGTTGACTTTCCTTCCATTATTTCCTCAAGGAAATGTAATGAATTTGCGATGTGTACCATCTGTCGTTGCGATTTTTCGATTTCGCATGGTGGAAGGGCAGATGTTCTCAAACATGTGTGTACACAAAAACACAAGGACAACATGAGATGTTTTGAAAAAAACGAAAAATTGAATTTTTCTTCGGAAAAAAAAAGACCAAAAAGGGATTAATACAGAATGTCTGTTCTCTGCCTTTTTACTGGACCACAACCTGCCACTGAATGCATCAGATCACGCTGCAGCTTTATTTAGAAAAATGTTTCCCGATAGTGAAATCGCTAAGAAATACTCAACTGCAAGGACCAAAACAGGTGTAATTGTTAAAGAAATGGGTTTGAAAAATAAATCTTCAGTTATTGATTGCATTAAAACAGCTCCGTTCTGCTTCTCTACGGATGGAAGCAATAATACCAATTCAAAACTGTATCCAATTGTTGTTTCCTTTTTTAATCCAGAGTCTTCAGAAATTGAGTGCAGTTTACTGTCTGTCCCCACTTTAGAAGGACATTCGACAGGCTTTAATATAGCACAGCTAATTATTAAAACTTTAAAAGAAAATGCAGTCCCTCTGGATAATTGCTTAGCACTTGGTGCCGATAATGCACCAGTAATGGTAGGCTTGAAGACTGGCGTTGCAGGCATCTTAAGAAAAATTCAGATTTGCAGATTATGAGGTGCACCTGTCACCTCTTAAATTTAGCAGCTGAAAAAGGGAAAGCTTTACCAATAAATGTGGATGAACACATTTTTGATATTTATTATTACAGTCAAAAGTCGTTAATTCGCACACCCATAATCCAGACCTCAAAGCTACAAACTCTCTGCGCATGCGTAAGACCTTTGCAGCTGCATATATGCGTGTGCGCATGCGCATAATACGCTTACGCATGCGCATTTAATGTATAACGGACGGTATAAGCTAAGCTAAAATTATCTAATTCAGTTAATGTTGCAGATTGCGTTTTTCCTTAATCTTGGAATTGGATCAGGCTTATTATTTTTTGCAGACTGTTAGAGCAATTTTATAAAAGTAAGCTTTAACTTTGGATTATGTCAAATAGAATTCCGATATATATTTACTAATATGTAAAGGATATACAAAGTGAAAGTATGATATGAAAGTTATGAAAGTCATGAAACAAAAAGTGGAATAGCTGCAAAAAATGAATAAAGGCATAATCCTTTGTTTATCTAACCATTCCGAAATCTGTTTATCAATTTCACGCTGCTCTGCGGCGGCGATGGGGTGGGAAACGTCGCGGCACGCAATGAATTGGAAGTTGATCTGTCAGCACTATCCTTACCTTCAGGGCAGACATTTTTATTTTATTTGGCTTATAATTCCTTACTAATACTGTAGTATTTCATCTCGATGTACTCCGTCTTTGATATGATTTAAATCAAATTGCTCGTCATTATAATTCGCTTCCGATACTGAAGAAAGTGACACAGAGGTTATTGAAAACGAAAAAATTTCGCTTGACAAATTAGTCGGTATTCTCGACATAGCAATTATAGGACTTCAACAGCGGAACTTTGTAAATGAAGAAGAAATTATGTCTGTTTATAGAATTAAAGAGAATATATTAGCACATAAAAAACGAAGCAACTTAAACAACTTACATTGAAAGAAATGTTTAAATAAAGTAAACAAATATAAAGCTTTTTTTTTTTTTTTTTTTTTTTGTAAATTTTGATACCCTTTAGATCATAATTGTTCTTTATTTCATAAATTACGGTTTCACGAAACATTTTCCGATTACTGTAAGTTTATCTTGAGAAGAACGAATATTTATGTTTTTTTCTTTGGACCTTAACAAAGCTTTTTGCTTTTTTTTTTTTTACATTTCATTTTGCCATCATTCGATGTTTTTAACACAATTCTACAAAAGCAGAATTCCATTAATTCATGTTTTGCAATCAATGATTTATGAACTGTTTAAAGACATTTTATCAAAGTTTGTAAAAACCAGTCTGTGTTTTGTCTTGTAATTCTATATATGATGTGATTTATGGTGAAATAGAAAATCAGAAGAAAGATGAAGATTTGGTAATAGGAGCTGCAACTACAAAAGTAGTAGAACTTTCAGAAGACAAAAATAAGTTTTATTTTCATGTCAGAAGTTAATTCTCTCGAGTATGTGATTACATACTACATAACTTTCCAGTCAAGATTGTGATGTTTCTGCTCCAGCAAATGCATCTTTTTCTGATATAAGGTACTTTTTGAACAGATTTCCTGTGTTACTTCGTTTAGTCATGAAAGATGATGATATTGATGTTGCTACTGATATACTGCAGTCGCAATTTTGCAGTTTACAATTAGAAAACTTGGATGAAGTTATAAAATCAGCTAGGATTGACACCCATTGGAGTTTAATTGGAAAACTGAAAGGTGCTGATGGAATTTTAAAATATAGTGAACTGTCTAGAATTATGTTGGCCATCTTGACAGTTTCCCATAGTAATGCGGAGTGTGAGAGGATTTTCAGTGTTGTTGCGAAAACGAGGACTAAATTTGGATCTAATATTAGTGATGATACATTAGAAAAACTTTTATTAGTGAAAGCAGGCAATTGCTATGAACAAAATTATTCTATAAGAATATAAAGTTTCTTTCTTAACGAAAGCAAAATCTGCCACTGTTCATAACATTTGTATGAAAATTGATTAAAGTGTCCCCCCCCCCTTTTTTTTTTTTTACGATGCAAGTAATAAAAATGTTTTTTATGTCTAAGGTATTTTTGTGTTGCCTGCATTCAAGACTTAGTAACTATTTAAAGTTAATTCATTATTAAAAACTATATTTTTATCATTTAAAAGTCTTTTTAACATTGTGATTTTTTAAAAAAATCTCCTGATTTTTGAGTGTCATAGGTTGGCAAGTATGTGAACAGAACCGAAAGTTGAAAAAAAAAAGTATTTCGTGAGACTTAAATTTTCGTGATTACGATGGGCTCACGAAAATCGCAAAAATGAGGGCCCTTACAGTAGCTGATATCTTTCATTCTACTTGATCTCTATGCATAATTTTGATGTCTTTTTACACAAAACTGTAAATAAATGAAATGCTGAAATGTATGAAATTACAAGTTTCAATAGATTAAAAATTTTAAAACCTACCATTAAATAAACATAATTGTAATAAAATAAGGCACAATATACAATATAGGTAAAAAATAAAAATACTCATCATAAAATTATTAGAAACCATATGTAAAAAGTACCAGGAGAGAAAATTAAAAACATTTATTTAACTTGCTGTTTTCGATTTTTTAGAAGTTTTACTTATAGGACGATTTGAAAAAAATCTTCTCCCTTGAAAGTTACAAAATCTCTTGTTTTAAACCAATAAAAAAATAGTCGTGTTTATTTTGTTATGTTATATGATGGTTCATTTATAAACAGCAGCTTAATATATGAAAGTGCTGCACACCTCGAATTTTTGATAATTATGAAAGAACTCAGTCCTTTGAATTCAGTCATGTGTTTTGTGAATCAACCTGAATATTCATTTAGTATTTTACTTGATGCTTGGCATAAATCTAATGTAAAATATTTCAATATTCAGGACGTCATTTTCTCATTAATATATTAAGAAAAAATACAGATGTTTAACGATAGCAGTTCAGTTTTATTATAAATTCTTATAATATTTAGTCCTATGAATTAGTGAAGTGACTTAATATGCTGATTAAATTTTTAACCAATGAAAATTTAAGACCTGAATTATTATAGTTCTGAACTAAGTAAGTTATTATATTTTTAGCTATGTATACATAGCCTTTTTTTTTCCTGTGAAGTCTTATTAAAATATTGTATGTGTAATATTATAATCCTGTTCTTATTAAGGCAGCATGTAATGTAATGCAGTACAATGTCCGAGATCCAAATTCCATGCCATCAATTTAAATCTAGTAAGATAACATGTAGAAATTTAAAAAGAAATATAATCTTTATTTGTACGATCAAAAGTCGTTAATACGGACTCGTCGGGACTTCGGCGATTCCAGATTATCGATTTTTCTGGATTATAGATCATCAGTTTAAATCGCGTAAGATGGCATGCAGAAATTCTAAAATTAAAAATATGAAACCGTAATTTATGAAATAAAGAACAATTATGATCTAAAGGGTATCAAAATTTACAAAAAAAAAAAAAAAGCTTAATATTTATTTGTTTTTTTGTCTCCCGATTTTCGACCGCTCTCCCGCCAACCCGAGTTACAATATATTTCTCCTGATTTTTCTTATTCTTAAAATTTCTCACGATTTTTATGGAACTTGGCTTAATACTTTGTTATATAAACAAAAACAAAAAAAAAAAAAAAAAAAAAAGTGATTTTGGCAGTCTGAAAGCAATTGATTATATCTAAAACAAAACCTTGCGAATTACATAACTTCTACTTTGTAAGTGAGAGCAGAGCATATACGTATCCAGAAACGTCGTTCTCCAGTTCTCCAATGGGGGCATCGTGCTCCACTACGTGTCATCTGGCATATATTAATTAGCCAATGAGAACAAAGCAAGCTGTTATTTGGATGTTCTTTAGTTATTTCGGTCATTTTTTCCTGAGTTGTTTGAGTATATGTGCCTTGGGGAAATAGTTTTAGAAATTATCATCTTTTGTTATGTCTGCCGGAAAGGTGAAATACTCGTACGTTTCAAAAATCGTACACAGTTGACTTTCTTTCCATTATTTCCTCAAGGAAATGTAATAAAATTGTGATGTGTACTGCGTGTCGTTGCGATTTTTCGATTTCGCATGGTGGAAGGGCGGATGTTCTCAAACATGTGCGTACACAAAAACACAAGGACAACATGAGTTATGTTGAAAAAAACGAAAAATAAAATTTTTCTTCAGAAACAGAGGACCAAAAAGTTGCTAATGCAGAATATCTGCTGATGGAATTTTAAAATATAGTGAGCTGTCTAGAATTATGTCGGCCATCTTGACAGTTCCCCATAATAATGCAGACTGTGAGAAAATTTTCAGTATTGTTGCGAAAACGAGGACTAAATTTAGATCTAATATTAGTGATGACACAGTTGAAAAGCTTTTATTAGCGAAAGCAGGCCTACGTGGCAATTACTACGAACAAAATTATGAAGTTTCTTTCTTAAAGAAAGCAAAATCTGCCACTGTTTATAACATTTGTACGAAAACTAATTAAAGTGGTTTTCTTTATTTTTTTAATCGATGCTAGTAATAAAAATGTTTTTTATGTGTAAGGTATTTTTGTGTTGCTTGCATTTAAGAATTAGTTACTATTTAAAGTTAATTCATTATTAAAAACTATATTTTCATCATTTAAAAAGTCTTTTTAACATTGTGAAAAATCTCCTGATTTTTGAGTGTCGTAGGTTGGCAAGTATGCATGTAAAATTTTCATACAATGTAAATGTTTTCATGATTTGTTTTCAGAAATGTAAGTTAATATGCTCCTTCCATGTTCAGTTATAATTCATAAACTGCATAATCTCAGTATTATGTTACTTCCTTAATATTTCATTCATAGGCTTAAATTTTAAATCTTCTGTATAATTTATGGGATTCAATGTTATTCCCCTCACCTTTTTTTAATCAAGTGGTATTGAAACATTTCATGGTGTGATCCATTTGTAGGTAGTTTCCATATTATCTAATATTTAAATCAATAGAGTGATTAAAAATTTGATTCGTAGTTTCTTTTTAATATGAATTCAAAGTAAGTTATGTTAATTTGAGCATATTGTTTATTTTTGTTTAATTTAAATTTCTGTTCAGCATTGAAAAGTTCTGTCCTTTTCATATAAGGAGGAGTAATTTTCCAAAAGCTTATTTCTACCATCTTCCATTATTCTCTTAACAGACATCCTATTTGGTCAATTTTCATTCAGCAGAATAATGCTCATTATATATTTATAAAGCTTCTTTGTCGCTGCATTTGAAAATCAAATTATCTTTATACTAGATTTATCAAGGGTACAGAGGTTGTTAACGCATTTTTAAAATGGCTTCTAAAAATGTGTAAACAACTTAATTGACGTTTAAAATGTGAAGAGTATTTTTTTAAATGTTCAGTCGAATAGCTTTTTTTATGGAAATTTAAGTACGTCTGCATTGTAGATTTCCATGATTGAAGGGCTTTTTGTGAAATTTCCAGAGGCATTGATAATACATTCCTCTTCCACTGCTCTCCAGAACTCATCAATCATGATGGATTTTTGTTCTTAGAAAGAGCTCATTTCCAAAGCCATGAAGAGACAGTTATCCATAGGTGAAACCTCAAGGAACTTTGGTGTACACGTAATATCTGTATCAGTTTTCATTTTTTCAAGTGTAATGCAATGGTACTTTTTGAAGTATGCTTTGTCTTGATGAAGTTTGATTCTTTGAAACATAAAAACTTTATCTTGTACACTGAGTTGATTTTTAACACTTTTTTCCACTTTTCTTCTTCTTCTTCTTTCTTTTTTTTTTTTTTTTTTTTTTTTTTTTAAATTGTTAGAGAATCTTGCAACAATAATAAACCCCTTCCTGAAACTTGCTTTGCATTCACAGAAGCAAGTTTTTTTTTTATATTTTTCTTTAAACTTTTTGACCTTTTTGGGAGGGGTTACACTTATTTTGACTTATACAATGTAGTTGCATTTATCATTTGCTAAATTGTTTTCGTATAGTATTCTTTAGCTTGTTCTGCATTGAGCCATCCTTGGAAAAAAGTTGGTATTTGGATTTTATCACTACATATGTAAGTTGATTTGCAATTGATTTCTGCTACAGCACAATTGCTCTTGTCACCAATGATTTAACTTTAGAAACAGTATATATAAATAAGTAGTCTATACCTCAATATATTAAAGTCCTAGTTTTTTAGGCAGTTATAGTCATTGGTTATTATTACTGCTATTCCTATGTTTAATAAAATTAAAAATATGCCTTGTAAACATTTTGATCTTGATGTGTCAAGGAAAAATAATCTCCAAATCTCATTTTAATTACTACTTTTTTATTATTTTAATATATATGTATATTGCAATGATTTTATATTAAAAAACACTGTTTAAGCCTTCCTCGTGTAATTATGCGATTTCTTGCTATTAACTGTAATTTGCTTTTTTCCATTTATGTCTGAACATTTAATTACAAATTTTTATGCATCAAGTTGTTATTTTACAGGTATGAGACCTCCTGTTGGACATATAGCTCCTATGATGCCAATAGGTTCTATGCCAGCACCAGGAATAAGAGGCCCATTGATGATTCCACAAACATAAGATTAGGAATACATTTTGTGCTTATTAGTCTTTTTATTAAATGGATTATGGTGGTTATGTGCTTGGTGTATATCCTTGAATTGACATGACTCCATTTCCTTAAACATAACCTTTATTCACACACACACCATAACTTTAAACACAACTGAAATAACAGAACGAATAACAAAAACCACTAAACTAAAATTCAAACATCCTATGCTGCAGCTAAGGGCGAAGTGAGCGAGTTCACTGCCACGCTAGCAGTTTTTACATAAACCATGTGACGTGGATTGGCTTTGCACACAATCGAACATTAGATTGCCACAGGATCATGCATTTCATAATTACTATATATTTCATTGTGTAAGTATATTAAATATGTATAAAATTATTTGTCATTTATGAGTTCCATTAATATAACATAAGACACTTTTAACAATAAAACCTTTTTTGTTGCAGAAAAATAATTGAAGCATTTTTCCTGTTATATGAATAAGGAAATCATTAAAAAGTTTCTGTTGAGGTAATTATGAGAAAAAGTAATCTTCTATTGTCACATCAATGAAATTATACCTACTGAGTTACACATGTTTCCAAATTTAAAATTATCTATCTGTACATGACTGCTGTTGGGGAAAATTTTTAAAAGAACTTAAAAAAGCAAAAAATCGTACTAAAATTACTGTAAATCTAAAATGGCCATGGCCATTTTGCTAAAAAATATAAAAATGAGATAAAGCATTTAAATTTCCATCTTTTCTGCCTAAAATTGCTGTATTATACATATTTTTCCTGTTATTGACACTTAGTTTCACTTGCTTCTTGGCTTCTTCAAATCTCCTGGTTAATGTAAAACGTTTTGTGCTGCATATTGAATACATATTTTAACGTATTTAATTACATTCATAGTAAAAAGCTGTTATTCTATTGCATAATGTTTATTCTGTGAAAGCAGAAAGAGAAATGGGCTATAAATACCCAAATATTGATTTTCTGTTACAATTTGTTATTTTTGCTTTTCTTATGTCGTTTAATAAATAGTAAATTCTATAAATTTTCTTCTACGTTTGTTTATATTCATACGAAGGTTAGGTAATATTTGAGAATATTTATCGGGAGTATGAACAGGTTTCCGCCTCTTTTTTTTAATCAAAAATTGGGCATTTATTGTGAATGAATGATACTTATGTTTTATTCAATGTATTATTAAAACGATTATCTCTAAGAAAAATACACATGGTTGTCATTAACTTATTATTGAGCAGTGAACTTTAATAGGAAAATAGAGTACTGCTATAAAATAGTTCTTTTTGTGAAACATTTTCATTTGTAAAATATGCTTGAAATGTAACTCATTAGAAAGGGGGGAGAAATATCTGTAATAAGCTTATATATGAAACTTGTACAGCAAGTTACCAAATCTCTTGACTATATTTTTGTATATATTTATTCAAGTTTTATATCTCTGTTACTGTGTTCAGCAGTGTATTCAGTGTACAGAAATTGTTTCTGAATCCATCAGTTCCGAGTGGATAAGTCTGCTGAACATCAGCAATTTATTCAAGGTTTGACTTTTGGTTTAGCAGACAGGTTGAACTAATAGAGTTTTTGTGATATTCCCCATGTCTAATATGAATCCAAACAGTTCCGCTAAAGTTTTTTATAAAGACAATGTTTCTGAGACAGATAGCATTTTTATAATTTGCTGTTGTCATTCTATCAATCTAACTCGTATGCAGAGAATTGAAATGCCTCATCTTGATATTGGTGAAAGCTTAAAAATTGGGAATCTTCATTTACTTCTTAATTGCCAAGACTGATATAGATATAGTCTTGTATAGAAGTGAAAGAATTGTAGTGAATGACTTAGTCTAACATGGGTCTTTGGCCTAAAAGTGCATAATGGCTGTTAAGGATGTTCTTTTATTATTGCATCTAGATCAAAATCTTATTTGACAGAGACTTGATACTCAGCAGATTGTTATGATATTGTAGCTATTACATTTAGCATAAATCTGGCTAAAATGGATTGATTGCTATCATAAGCTGCATCACTTGCATGCAGAACATCATGACTGAATTTGAGCAACTGAAATTGTTACTTTTAATATGAGTGGTAGTGGCTCTTCATTAAGCTGAGTCTATGTTGTAAATTAACATGCCATAACTATAATTGTTTAATGTAATAATACTTGATGCACAGTTTAGAATAGATTTAATTTGCTTTAAGGAAAAAAAAAAAAAAAAAAAGCCATTTGTAATCTGTTTCACAAACAAATCGTCTAGAAATGAAGTTTGAAAACTTTTATAGTGTCTTGATATTTAATAATATTCATTTTAATCCAAGCATGGGGCTGGTTTTAATCAGATAAATTATGGTTTTGAATTCAGGGGAAAATTGAACATTTTATCAGAATACTGCATACGAGTAAGTGAAAGAGACTTGATATAATGAATGTCTTGACCTAAAGTCTTGCATATGCTTTTTGCTGCAAGGTATAAAGACTCTAGAGATATTTTTTTTTAAAGATGCAGTTCTTAAGAAATTCATTTACTTTTGAATCAGATTGATTTAAATGCTAAAGATGCATTTAATTCGTGATTCATCTAATTAAAAATATTGAGTATTTGTGTAAAATGATGTATTAATACAGTGCGTGACTGTGGTCTTGTAAGTTTGCTAGGCAAAGAGTATAACATCACTGAACACTGGAGTTAAACACTGGTGAAAGGGCTAACTACAAGAGTTTTGGGGATTTTTTTCTGATGTGTAAAGTGAATATAAGGCTGATTCTTTTATAAAGTGCTCCACAAAAACTTATGCAGATAGTCTTTGTGTGCATTGTCTAAGTTAATCAACTTAAAACATAAGTTCATAAAAAACTTCAATAGAGTTAAATTCTGTCTGCTCACCATGCAATGTATCTTTTGTACCACAAATGAATCTTCATGAGAAATGCCTCGTTACAGATGATTGTTGTTACTACAGATCAGCAATTATTTCGATATAAAAATGAATTATCTTTATATAAACCTAAGAAAACTTATTTTTGTGATAGAGTATTTGCATAATATTTTATATATAACTATATTTGCATAATATAGTGATTTGAAATCAGGTATTCTGATGTTGATGTAAAATTTGGCCCTGATTAAAAATAGTCTGGTCTCCTACATCGAAAAATAACTATCCAAACAGGTAGTGGTTAGTGACTGACTACCATATTGAAGAGCCTGGGTTGGAATCCCAGAAAGGCATGGATGTTTGTATAGTGTCTTTGCAGCATGGGGGCATTCTAAAAATGGGGCGAGCCGAAAGTCCTCTCATATGTTAGGGGATGAGGAGTGGAAGACCCTCACACCCATTCTCCATCAAAATTAGTGTGGAACCAGGAAAATTGTACTGTCACCTGTGTGGTTTCCCAAGGCTTGTACTCCTTGCGATGATAAATTTTATGGCTTTGTTCTGATGATAAAATCAGGCAAGTGAAATTAGTCACAACAACATAAAATGGCATTATATACATTATTATTATTTATTTCATATTTTGTAAAACTTTAATGAATTTTTGATTAACAAACTCAACAATTTAAAAGCGATCAACTGCAACAATGTATGGAATAAAACATTTTTATCTCCCACATAAGAGACTATCCATTAGAAATTTTGCCGTTTTAAATATTCTGTAATTTTGCTGTTGAATTTTATGTGGCGTTGGCGTTAATGCGAAAAATATGATATTTACTAAATAAAACTCAAAACATTAATAAAGAGACAAAGTTTTGTAACCCATCTTACTAAAAACACTGAATATTGATGTGTGAATTCAGAGAAAGGACTACAAAAAATTGTGTGTTAACACTGATGCAGGAATTCTAAACATAAGCTGCATACTTTTTTTTTTAATTCTCTGAGTTGTAGGTGGCGTAAGTGTAAAGAAAATGCTGCTTAACTTACAAATTTTTTTGGAAAAAATTGCAAAAAAACATCACATTTTTCATTTTATTATTAAATACAAGGAAACGAAACAAGACACAATATATATAAGTTTTAGGTTGAATTTTTAATTTTTTACAGGTGTAAAAAGCATTTAGTTTTAATATTAGTTTACTATCCCAAGTTATCTCGGGCAAATAAAAAATAAATAAATATTAGTCGTTGGTGATAGTTTTTGAAACAAGGAACAACACAAAGTGATACCTGACATTCTCTTTATACATTGGTATCTGGTCTCTTTTCTTACTGGCTTACCTCTAAAATCTATTTTACGGGAGCACAGAGGCACTGTCTCATTGGATTTGATTTTTTTTTTTTTTTCAGTAGCAGGAATAACATCTGGAAAATCTTGAGGTTATAATCACTATCTGAAAAATCATTGCTTTCGCTATCTTGCATCATCGCCATTATTTTACTTTTTTCAACACAACTATCATTCTTTATACGTTACTGAGTCGATGTATAATAGACGATAGGGAAAACACGTGACCAGTCCTGCCAAAAGAACCGTGAAACCAACAAAACTTGGTAAACTGCCAATAAAAGCCGAATATTTCTTTTCATTTCCTCCAGGCCGAGTAAAACCGTGATAAAACAAATCGTACTGACAAATTCTTCTCGGGATAATGATTAATTGCAATATATACGAACCCGGGATAATCAGGCAATCGGTTAGTAATAAACCTAAAAAGACAATACAAAAATGAGTTAGCAGGAGTGAATGCAAAAGCAGACTGGTGGATTGTGAGCTCAGTGAGAGCATAAAAAACCTTAACAAACCCTTATAGTCGAGCATTCAAATCTGAAGCCTTTCAGATTTTATTATTGAATTTTCTTTTCTATGAGGTGTCTTAATTTTCTGCACATATTTGTAGAACTTTATAGGCAAATTTAACTAATGTTTAATCAGTAAATATTCATATTTAATTAAGTTATGCATTAATGTATGATAAATTACTTACGTTTATCCACACAGTAGTAATTTTATTTTCAATGTCTAAAAAAGTATTTTGGTAAATTAAAGTAAAGCTGTCTTGTTCTGCTCAGGATTTTCTCAGTATAAAAGTGTGGGAATATT